CCAAAGAAATATTATAAACCAGCATTCTAGTGCAGGATTAATGCATTGGCTTTTCACCGGCAGACCAGACTGGCTAACGTCTATTTAGTGGTGTCAATTTAAACAATTACAATGATATTTGTCCACATCTCTCTCTCTCTCTCACTCACACTCTCACACACACACACACACACACACACACACACACACAGCACAGTTGACTGGACCCAGTTCAACATGAGTGTCTCTTCAAGCTCTCCCCAAGGCTGTAAGCCCCTCAGTTAGCACAATGGACATACTATGAGCACAATGCCTGTCTCTCACCAGTATTGTCACACCCCAAAGGGGAATTAACATTCACCAGCTTCAATGGAAAATTGAAAAAATAAAGAAGCAAAGCAATGAAAACTTAAAGCCAGTGCTGTTGGAAGAGCAACGTGACAGTGGATCCTGTGGGCGGGGGTACCCAGGTCCTCAAAGGTATATAGACTCTTAACTTCTATTGTAATCAATGGAAGTTAGGAGCCTAAATACCTTAGAGCAGAGTTCTCAAACTTCATTGCACCGCAACCACCTTCTGAAAACAAAAATTACTACAGGACCCCAGGAGGGGGGACCAAAATCCTGAGCCCACCCGAGCCCCACCACCCGGGACTCACTTTGGGGTCCCAACTCACATTTTGAGAACCACTGCCTTAGAGGATCTGGGCTAGAATTGCTTAGTATGGTTTGGTATGGCTGGTGGGCATAGATAGCTAGTGTATATAGTACCAATGATGTAGGGTAACAATGACTGGTATCTGCCTCAGAATGCCTTTACATACAAAACACTTGCATTGCAGCAACCCTGCTTATCCTTTAATATGTACTGGACAGCTATGTAATTATTAAAATAAGAACAAAAAAAGGCTTTGGCTTTTGCCAGTTCATTAGGACCTTGTTCATTCATGCTCCCTATGACTGGGCGCCCATTGTGAATGACTGAATTCTGTAAATTAGTGAGTAAAGATCTGATCCTGCTCCCAATGCAGTCAGTCAGAATTTTGCCATAGAATTCAATGGAAGCAGGACTGGTCCTGAATGACTTGATCCTGCATCACTGAAGTCATAAGAGGCTTTACCGTTGACTTCTATTGGTGCAATGATCAGGCCCTAAAGCAAGTATGTGAAATAACAAACAAAACAAGGATCCCATGTCACAAAATATATTTTGTTAATTTATTTTGCCAGCGGTCATTTGTGTAATTATTTCTTATATTTCATAATTAAAATTGCCATTAATTATTGTACATATTATTTTACAGCACCCAAATATGTGATGAGCTCATACAGTACAAGTAAGAAGTGATGGGGATAGATGCTCCGTTGGCGTGAAGTGCTGTAGTTCCATTGACTTCAACTGGGGATCTGCCCCATCTTAATCCTGACGGAGGATGCTTTACATTCTAATTTCAGTCATGATGCAACAAAGGGATGGGGTCGGGTAAGAAATCAATATGAAGGGGTGCGTTGGGGGCATTGGGAGAGAAAAGCAGCAATACTTAGCCAAGGCTTGTACAGAATATGTGGTGTAGTCAACCCCCACAAACTTTGTATAAATATCTTAGCATCAATATACATAAGTATCTTTGACTCATTTCTTGTGGTAAAGGCCTGGCAGTAGGGTTTGTTAAAATAATGTAGTTTTAATATAATTCCTCACTCCAGCATCTGCTGCTAAGGCTTAGATGAGGCATTGAGAGGGACTGCTATTCTTCTGTGCAAATTATAAGTGCCCTGGTTTTACAGTCCTCTCCTGAGCAAGGACTGTAGGAACAGACTCAAGGAGTGAAGTCCTAGCCCCACTGAGTATGGCTGCAATATTAACCCAGTGTTTGAACTCAGGCTCAAGACTAACCCCTCTTCCATCTACACACAACTATCACTTACCCAGGGCTTGGACCCAGGGTCCCAGGACCCCATGCAGGTGGGGAGTGGTCCAGTCTGAATCAAACCAGGACCTAGACACAGTCCCACTGGACTAGTGCTCTGGGAGTCTGCCAAGAGTATTCCACAATAGCAAAGGGTGACTTTCTTTGTCCTCTGGACAGTCAAGTTTGGTGGACAGTCAAGTTTTCCCACGTTGCACCATGAAGAAATGGCTAGAGCAGCCACATTTTGGGAGGGTGCCAGGAAGTCTGGGATATGGGTGGTTGGATTCGGGCCCAGATAATGCAGTGTAGGTGTTGGAACTCCAGGTTATAATCTGGGGTTACAAATAAGTGTAGACACTTAAGACTAGATTAGCAAACACAGGGTCTGCTAACTCGAGGTCAAATGACCCTCGGCTTACTTTTCACTGTACACATACCCATTGAAGTCAATGGAGCTTTGCTATTGACTTCAGCAAGGTCAGGATTTCACCCAGGTATGCAGGTTAGTGAAGTGTGGATTAGCAAAACTCTGTTCTGTTTAAGGAAATCCAGCGCTCATGTTTCACAGTATTTTATTTACCATGAATGTTTTAGCGATTTGGTGATATATTTTTCACAGACTATTTTTAAGCACTTTCTTTTTTAACCCGTACAAACAATGTGTATCTGCAGCTTTTTGCCCTTGTCTTAAATAAAACTAACAGTAATAAAGAAGAGCTGAGGGTTTTTTGTTTGTTTTGTTTTGTTTTGCTTTGCTTCCTTTTTGCCCTTCTTGTTGAAAATTGCTATTTGAAAGTGCAGTCTCTGGGGAACAGAGTCACTTCCTGACCGTATTTGGCAAGAGAAGGAGTCTGTAATGCATGATACTTTTTCATACTGAGGCAGGAAGTTCTGGTCTTTGTGCTCTTCATGAATATATTTTACACATCTTTTTGCTGTTTTCTATCCTAAATGAAGATATATTTTAAATATCACAAAAAAAATTAACTTGTTTCATGGGTAACAACTTTATTTGACAAGTTGAGTTCAAACTGAAACACAGGGGAAGCTTAAAGAAAACTTACTCAGTGAAGACTTACTGTAAAGATGGCTAAGAACCAAAAATGTCTAATGAATATTTGAGTAAGTGAATTTACATTATAGAGCATATAAAAACAATTAGGACCCGCCCCCGCCCTTTCAGACACTAACTAAAGGGTGACTTAAAAAATAAAAGTAGTTTTGCCACCATGTAAATCTCTATACAAATGAATGTGTTACCAAGAACCCAACGCTTTTTGCAAGATAGCCCAGATGGAATCTGACAATTAGCACATTATTAGCTGAGCTTCATTTTTGGAATGCTAGGTACTTTACCTGGTTCTTATAAAATGTCTTTTCTCTTGTTCCTTGAGGAGCATCTGGATGAACTGAAGTTAAAAACAGATCATGGGGCCAGATGACCCACTACCAGGCATCTTGAATAATTATTCATACCTGTGTGAAGTGGGTATGAAACATGAGGGAGCAGATCCTGGCCTGGCACTGGCTACTTTGCACTATGATAGTAGCATGAAGTAGCTGTAAAACTGGTGGATCCTGCCTCTTGAGATTTCTTCTCTATGCCAGGAAATTATCAGGTAGCATACGCTACCCAGCTTCTCAGCCTCTCGTGCATAGGGTATAACTGAGAGGAAGGGGGTGTAACCAGAGCTTACTTCCTGGTGATCCCAGTGATGTTGGGACCAGGGGTAGGCCTGAGACCCAGTCTCCAGCCAGCCCTAGTATTGTTTGAATGAAAAGGTAACTTAGAGCCATACAGCCTCCTAAACTGTGTCAAGTGCAACTTGAATGCAGCTTAGAATCTGGGCCTTGGTAATGTTTAAAACTCACTTTGCAGCAGTGTTCATAAGTTTGCAAGGTGCAAGGCAGTGCCTAACGACCTAATGTTGAAAGTGCTAGGGAGGTTTTACACCCTCTCAGTTTTAGATCCTGGGCCTTCCAATGCCCATTGTCCTGCACTTGTCCCCCACGTATTACTGTCTGGCATACTACTACCTGACAAAGCATGGTGCTGGTATTGTTACATTTTGCAGAAGTTCCATTTTGTTCTGAATAAGCCTGGACAGTGCACCTGTTCCCTCTGCTAAAATAATCTGGAGGAAAAAATTAGAATATGCACATGTAAGTAAGTACGTAAACTGCTTTATTGTTTTAGTTTTGCTCTATTGTGTTGGGCCATGAGGTAACTCTGTGCATTCCCTGAGTACTGTATCAGGAAGTCTGCAACAAGAGGAAATTTATCTTTTTCCCAAGGACAATGGAATATGTGTTAGAGTTTGGGATTTGTTTGTTTCTCATAGGAGAGAGGTTTGTCAGGTTCTCGCTGCTGTATTACTCACTTCTCAGTCCTGAACTAAATAAATCCCATTCTATAGGACAGGGTACATCCTGTCATCTGCCAAAACTGACGTTTGTGTTTTCCCCTGCTGACTTGAAAAGCTGTGCTCTATTGGTGAGAGAATCTCTGAAGCCCAGGATGTCTGGACATTTTTTCCCCCACAGACTGTTGGTCTGGAGTGAGGAGATTCCATATATTTTATTGACATGATGTTCTGCGACACAGGAGATTAAAATCCCCCTCTTCAGAAAAGCTGGTGATCCAACTCCTAATGGGAAATATGTCAATGGTAATTTGATCAAGAGGGGAAAAACTTGTTCCAAGAGAATAAATCATTTAGTTTGAGATTCACTACATTAAAAAAATCTATAGTGATAATTCCCCTCTCATAGTAGTTTGACATCAGTGTATAAGCATTTACTTCAGTAGAGTTCATCCTGATTTACACTGGTCCAAGAAAGAGAAGAATCAGGCCCTTTTTGGTACCAGCTGATTGTTAAGGCTAGGTTGTGACTGGCCCTTGGGTGGGTGCTCACAGAAAGGGAGGACACAAGCAACGTCCTCACCATGCACATCATGCACAAGGTCTAGTCTTAGATGCACACTTTGTACTGGGGAAAATGCAGGAGCACGAGGAATACTCTTTTCATGCCCCCACTGTGGCTGGAGAAGAAGTGGGGCCACAGCCAGACCCCTCTTCCACAGCAGCTCATGACCCTGTGGGGCAGACCCACCATAGGGAAGATGCTGCACAATTCTAAAGGACAGTGCAGCCTGCACACCTGCTGTATGTGCTCCCTGAGTTACCTTGGATGACGTGGCCACAGGCCACAACCAATTCAGACTCTGTACTAACTACACGATTAGGTCCTTTATCACTGATCAAGCAGCTCCTTCCTCTTATGCACAGTCTGAATTTCCCTTCCCTTTTCCTGTTTTTGCATGAGATGTTCCTCCTAGTCTCTTGTGAGACTCCAGTGTGTGTGCTTGTGGCTGATATCTTTATCATTCACTGCTCATTGCTTTAAGGGATATAAAGGACTATTGAGTTTAACGGTCAATCCTTTATACATCCCATAAGCACCGAAAACACATGCAAAATGTTAATGGACAAAACAAACCTTTTCAATGACAAATTTAGCACATTCCATCCTACCTATAGTGCCATAGATTAATAAGCCAGTCTTTAGAGCATCCTACAAAGGTGTTAGCTACAAACCTGATTCTGACCACTACTATGAATGGGAGTTTTCCTGTGGACTTCAATGGGAACAGTATTAGGATCCTAGTGATATTATTACAACTAGGTTTCATTTTTATTAAATTATGTCTTTAGTTTATGATATATAAAATGCATTACCCAATTTATTACATAATGATCCAAAACAGATTTACTTTGAGATATTGGTTATTATTTACTTAAATTATTTCTAGTGTATTAGAGGCTCCAGTAAGGGATTGTGCTAGAACTTGTACCCAGCAAAAATCTTTACAATCTAAGCATACAGTGAGAGACAACAGGTGGGCAGAACAAATACATGGGGGGAAGGAAGGAGGAAAAAAGTAACTGAGGGACAATGATGTTTGGCATAACAACCAGCAGTCACAGCACACCCTTACACTTGCCATTGTCGAGACCTGGGAATCATTTCAACAGTGGCCCTAATTGCTTTAGTTTATGTCACTAAATAGTGCCGATAGGGGTTATCATTTACTGTGTATTTGTAGGCTGCCTAGCATAATGGGGCTTTGAACCTAATTGCTAGAAGAGGTTGTTGAATTTAGGAAGTTGTGGAAATACCTTTCCTGGTAGATTTAGAAGGAACAAATACAGCGCTCCTTCAACCATACTGCATTCCTGTTAAACAAGGTAACTTAGGAGCTCATAATACTTGGTAACAATCCATGTTTCATTCCATCTATGAAAACACACCCCATTCCATGTTTACCGATTGTTGTAGTGTATTGTTTGTTCATTACTATATCACTTCATGTATTTAGATTGTTTGCCCTTCATGTTAATGGCTTTGTACTTGTTTGGCATTGTCTCCCTACTGCACAATATAAATACATATACCAACTTGATACTACAGTAATGAGTGCATAGGAATGAAGACCGTGTTTAACTTTGGTAAATAGGGGCCTGATCCAAAGCCCATTGACGTCAATGGGACTTGAGCTCTAAATGAAGACTTCAACTCATGCTACCTTACAGATGAATCCCAGGGATTTGTATGCATATTCAGACACTACAAGGATAAAAACACTGATTTTCTGTCTTTGTGAGAAGCACATTTTATTATTTTTAATTATTATTCCATGCATAGCTAAAGTTCCCCCTGTGGGTCTCGGGACTGAATAGGCCCACTGCTCCTCCTGCATGTTGTAAGAGGCGACTAAAAGGGGGCTGTCTAGAGAGGGATGGGCTCCACCAGGTTAGAAATTCGCCCAAGACGTACCATATAATGAGCAAGTCAACCCTGTCCATACCAGATTGGTCGCAGCCTGGGTTAATAATGACTGCACCATCCGTCTCCCACCAGGGCGGATGCGACAAGTATACTACTGGTGTAACCTCAACAAAGAGGATCCGTGGAAGAGATAACATCACCATAGCCACATGGAATGTAAGGACATTGAAA